GGCGATCAGGCCGCTCTGTGCATGAGGAAGTGATTGGGAATCGTGAATGACAGATTCATAAGCGGACTTTCCAGGACGAATGCGACTGCGGTTACGACCAGGCTCGCATCAAGAAGTCCCCAACAAGGTAATGCTCTAGCGAGGACTCTCTGGGGTGTATTTGATCACGATTCCCACCAGGCTCAGCCTAGGAACTCGGAGTGTTGACACTAGGGAGTAACGCTTGATGAGGAGCGGCCGCAGTGATCAGTTCACCCTCTGGTATACATGCACTCGAAATAGATTGGAAAACACAAAACGAAGAAAATAAATGCTTTGCAACTGACGGCTCTTAGATCTCCCCTCACTTTTGTGCGCCCGGATTCGTTGATAGTTCAAGTGTGTCATAATCCCCTTCGCCTGATGGCTCGTCTTTACAAATGTCGTCATCCTGTTAGTCTTCGTCACAGTCGGCCTCTTCTTCGCCCTCCTTTACACCTCTTGATGATATCATCTGATTGCATGGTGCGTATGCACTTATCACGCTCTCTTCTCTCTCTGCGTTTGGGTCTCGGAAGACCAGTCTCATGTTGCCGAACCCCTGCTTTGGATAGAAACTCTGTCTCGAAAGACCAGTCTCTTCTCTCTCTGTTCTCCAAGTCCCACTCACAGTCGCAATGACTCGTAGACGCAATGCAGCATGATCGTAGCATTAAGGCAGGTGCATAACTGCAACCGCAATCCCTTGTGAATTTGTGGAGGATCTTTCTGGTCTCTGGCTGCTTCTAACGCCTGTGTGCGTGCTCATTACTGTGGCTTAGCGGCATTGACGATTTTTCAACGTTGGGTCGGACCGAAGCAGTAGTGGGAAGGCTGAGCGTTTTCAGAGATGCGTTTGAAGGGGGTGGCAGAGTGGCTGTTGGGCAGAAGATGTGCATCATGGAAACCCATTTCCGTCATTTCACCCGTGGTGGTGTGGCCCAGGCCTCCGAAAAGAGAGTGTGCCTACTTTGGTGATTTGTCGCTCACTGAATATTTTGAAGGAAATGGACAATTGCAAGGAATATGAGTGGGAACGATATACAAAAAGCCAAGTTGCGAAATCACACAGATGTCCAAGTAGTCGTGTACAAGCAGAGAGCACAAATGCGCCGAGAATCCATCCAAATACGAGCAAATATAATGAAGTAACGACCCAATGTTCAAGCCCTCAGGCCACACCAACGCAGTATCCGAAGTCGCTCCTCTCTCTCTGCCGCCCAGCGCCCAGCCTTTACTACTTGACTATCCTACCTACATCAACATTCTCGCAACAGGCTCACTTCGACCCTTGAAGAACAATGTACATGATGTCAACACCATAGACGACCCCTCTCATGCACCAGGTACGTATCTCGTCTCCCCTCATCAGATCCTGTCCACCCACACTCGACTCCTTCCTGAAGACCACAGATCGCCCTCTTACCCCCTAGCGCCCTGCAGCCTGGCTATGGCTGCTAGCACTCCGCTGCCCAGCAGCGCCCCTCTCACCTCTCGTGCGCCCCGCAAGCGCCCTGGCGGCGAAGCAGCATGCAGCCTCTAACGCAGCAGCTCAGCAGCGTGACCGCATTCCCTGTGTGGGCTAGAATGCCAGGCTGTGGCTGCCTTCCTTCCTATATGGAAGTGGCAGCCTCTGCTTGGCTGCGTGTGGCCTGGCTGGAGGCTTCCAGTAGCTTTCGGTTGGGCCCCAGTGCCTGTGCGCAGGCCCAGTGCTATAGTTGAGGGCCTGGGCCCGGCCTGAGTCTCCAGACTTGGGCCGTTTGCTGCATTTGCACAGGACCTGGGGTATGTACGTTGACAGTGCTGCTTTTGTGTAGGCCTGTGGCCACTTCGTGATGTATCGGCCCTGCATTGTATGTGCCCAGACACAACAGCCAAGGCCTGGGCCTACGACGCAGCTTAGGGAGATTCACACGTCCACTCAACCAACTGGCGGGCTGCAACAGCCCTACCGACATTGTCTAGCGCATGGGCGCGGGGAACATAGCCCTAAGGTAGCCAAATCAATGAGACTAAGAGCTCGCACGAGAGAGAGAGAGAGAGAGAGAGAGAGAGAGAGAGAGAGANAGAGAGAGAGAGAGAGAGAGAGAGAGAGAGAGAGGCTGAATGGCAAAATTGAAATATGGGTCAAATTGCGGCCGCGATCTATTTTGCAGTTGGAATGATTTTTTTAAATTTATTTAGCGTTTTTCCTGGAAAGATCACAACAAAATCTACGAGTACTCCAATTTTCAGGTTTTTTTGCGGATTCTTCTGAGAGTGAAAACTCATTGAATTTGAAGTTGGCCCACACATGGTTGAGTGTCAAAAATGGAAAATGTGCCCAATCGGCGCGATGATTATTTCTCGGTCTAAATGATTTTTAAAAAATGTTCTAATATTTTTCCTAGAAAGAACATGACCTCATATATGGATTCTCAAAATTTCAGATTTTTCTGCGGGTTCCTCCGAGCACAGAAAACCGCCAAAGGTGCCACTTGCAAAACGCCTGTTTCGTTGCGCCCGACCTCCCTGTTTTGAGAAGATGGGCCTCAACGCCTGGGCCTGAGGGCCCTTATCCCACCCCCGCTTCTTTTGGGGGTCCATTTCCACCTGAGGACCGGTCCTTGCTTTTTCCAAAAGTCCCGGTCATTCCAGAGCTGCCTGTAGGTAGTCCCCAATTCTGCCAAGGACCGGTACCCCCCGAACTTTTGCCCCCTAAAAACCCACTTTGCGTCCTGGTCGCCCGCCGCCGAAAATGCGACACCTTGATGCAGACGCCGAAACCCACTATACCGCAGCCTTAGGGCTGCGAATATGCAAAATGTCGAATTTTGGCCTTTAGTGAATATTCAGGCCCGCCTTCACTTAGGGTGGGCACTTGGCTTGCTGGGGGCCTCTGCCCAGAACATGTGCATGCTTGACAAGGGCCCTGCGAGGGCTCATTCCTCGCACAATGCTAATAACAGTAAACCGAATTGTGACATCTCACAGAAGGCCAGATATCATAGCGCAGAAACTGAAAGCAGAATGCAATTCCATATCGCACCTAATCGGAAAGAGTAAAGCATGTCTTGATAATGGAAGGTTTTCTTCGCCTCCAATCACCAATACAACAACAATGTGACTCACCTACTGGTGGCCATCCGCCCAGACTACTAACAGATGCTCCTGTTGACCTAGACTCCCTACATGCTACAATAGGTTCGCTGGAAGATCAGCGTGATTTCCCTCGGAGACTCCGGTTGAACAGCTTCAACACCAGGTACGTGCTTGTCACAATGCCCTCATCTCCTCCCCTCATCTCCTGTCTGTCCAACTTTGCCGGACCCCTGCTCATCCATAACTCAGCTGTAGAGCGAGCAGCCTGGCTATGGCTGCCTTACCTGCTTGCTGCCTACTGCTGTGCAGCTCCCTCTTTGGTGCGGCCTGTTCAAGCTAACAGACTCTGATTGAACAGCTGGTTTCTTCAACACCAAGTATGTGCTCGTCACAATCCCCTCATCTCCTCCCACATCACCCGTCTGTCCCTCTTTGCCCAAGGACCTCTGCTCATCCATCGCTGAGCTGTGGAGCGAGCAGACTGGCTATGGTTTTCGCTCCTTCTCGCTGCCTACTGCTGCAGCTCCCTCTTTGGCGTGGCCTGCTCAAGCCAACTTATGCAGCGCTGCCGTAATGCTTGCCAGCCAGAATCCCGGAATTAGTGGGCCTGCCGGACACAGCTGGCTGGGAGGCCGTGCAGCCTCTGGCCAGGCTGTGCCCTGTTGCAGTGCCATGCGCCCTGGGCCGTTCCAGAATCTGGTCGAGGCCCAACTGTAAGATGCGTGGGGCTCAGCGTCTGCAACTATCCTACGTCAGGGTCAACCGGTTAGTTGTAGATGTTGCTTGGAGCAACTACCGATGGGGCCCCACACTCTGCTCTTATCGGCCTGTAGACAGGCCAAGGCTCAATTTTCAAGGTCCGCCTTCACTGAGGGTGGGCAGGGCCTTTTTAAGCTTTGCTGAGGGGCTCAGTCCTTGCACTCCCTCCCCCTCAGTTTCGAAATTCCCGAGAGAAATTTTCAGCCCACTTGCTGCTCCCCTTCTAGACTTCTTTCATAGTGGGACATGATCTGTGGGGCCGTCTTCATCAGCTCCTCTCATGTAAACCACCTGTCTTCTTTTGGATCTGTGTGATGTCTGAAGGCCACTCTGAACTGCATTTGCGGTTTGGGTGGTCTTCCTTTGCCAGGTGGCTGGGGTACAGGCATCACCCAGTGTTCAACTGTCTGATCGGTGTTGACTTATCCATCCATGGTTGGGGGCAGCATTGATCTTCGAGAAGGAAACCGATCAGTTTCAGAGGAAGGCAGGAGCTTGGAGGCCTAGAAACCAGGGCATGTGTGTAGGTGAGGTGGAACACGAATGACGTAAGAAAAGGGCCGTCAGGATCAGACCCAACAATGTCTAAGACATGGCGCAGCCCAAAATCCTTAGAACTCAAAAGACCGTACCCAAACTCTATCCCTGACCTGAAAGTTTGACTGCTGCCTGTGTTTGTTCTCAGATGCTAAAATAGCATTTTGAGTGTGTATCTGCTACATGGGTGCTGCAGTAGGTTGTCTCTCAGGCAGCAGCAAATCCAATTGCGACCTTGGTTTCCATCCCAGATGAAGATTAGTTAGAGTTCTATCGGTAGGGCAATGAACAACATTGTTGTACAGACTGCAGATGAGAGGCAACTTCTTTTCCCAATCATCCTGGCTAAGCTTACTATAATGCCGAAGCAAGTGCTGTAGTACATGGTTCATTTGGTAAGCCTGACCGTTTGTACCAGGGTGATTACCAGATGTCATCCGCGGTTCAGACCCTGTCTGCTGTGAGGTTTGTTGCCGGAGCTCACTTGTAAAACGCACATCTCTGTTGCTAGCTATCGTTTTGGGCAGTCCAAAATCCCTCACCCAGCTGTCCACGAACCAGTGTTGGGCCAGCAACTGGCCGGCAACCGTGCCGGTTCGGTTGGGCTCAAAAATGGATTTTTGTTTTTTGAAAGAGGGGTTCGATGGCCTGCCGAGAACAGTCAGAATCCATGAAGAAATCCATGATCTGAATGTTTTTTTTTCTGGTGGTGGTTGGGGGGGGGTAGGGGGGTTGAGACAGGACAGGTTATGGTGAGGGTGGGGGTCTTAGTGCGATTGTTCTAGCAACCATGGGCATGAGCAGACAAGGATAACAGCATACCTGACCATCATCAAATGTAGACAACAGCATACCTGCAGCATCAACCAAGTGCAAGAGCACCCTACCTCACCTTACTGATTGCGAACATCAGAAAACATAGGCATTGGCATACATCCTCGCACCGACATTGCAATGACCAGACGAAGAAGACGAAGTACATGAGAGAAGAAGAAGAAGAAGATAATTAGCAGCAAACGTTTTCAGAAATTCAGAGAGAGATTTCTTTCAGATCATCGTGGTGACAAATTGGAGAACTCTCTCTCTCTCTCTCTCGCGCGTTCGCGCGCGCGCGTGCGCGCGATGTCATTTGGACTCGCATGGGCTGGACCCCTCATCAGACGACTGGGGGGCATTATCATCTGAATCGGGATCATCGTCAGCAATGGAAACACCCTTGCAAGGCTTCCCGTGCTCCTTCACCCTTGCGAGGCCTGCCCGGGCTCTCTGTTGCTTCGGGTATATTGCCACAATCGTCTTCTTTTCGGGCCTCCTAGGTCCATGACGGGGTGCTGACGGTTCCTTCTCCACCGATGCCTTCCTCTTTCTCCCTGCCCAGCTTTTCCAGAGGTTGTCATGGTGGACAGCCTCGTTCATGGCAGGCATTGGGGGTGTGCTGATCTCCTCTGCAGCCTTGTGCTCCTCCTGCTGCCCCGTGTCCTCAGCCTGCTGTTCTTGCTCCGCCGATTCCACCATCGGCATCGCATGTGGGTGGGGCCTGGGTGTGTACACCGCCCCTGCTGCATGCTGCTCTTCCACTGCTTCCGCACACTGCTTTATCTGCAATTCATTCCTCTCCATTGCTGCCTCCAAATCCTCCTTCTCATGCTGCATGTCCAGTCTTTTAGCTCCCTGCACTTGTCCACCTTTTCTTGCATCACATTCCCCACTTCCATGGGCGTTTTGTTCTTCTCCCCCCCCCCCCCCCCCCCCCCCCCCCCCCCGTCCACGTTCTCCACATCTTGATTTGTGTCTTGGTCCTGTGTCTGCCCCGTCTCTCTCTCTCTCCCTATGGGTGGGGACCGCAGCACGATGGGCGTCATCCTCGTGCAGGTGTTGCCGTACAAGGTCAGCTTGCTTGTCTGCCATTGCCTTTGCCCGTGCAGCCTCCTCCTCATCAGGATCGTTTATGGCGTGCAGCACGAACTCCACATCTGTGTCTAGTCTCTCCATGCCCGGTGCCGGCTCCACCCCGAGATCCCTTTCCCGCTGCTCCAATTGCCTGCCCACATATGTGGTTGTCGGGACTGCTGGTACCACATCAAGCTCGAAATCGGAGTCCCCAAACTCCTCTTCGCTGCAGCCCTCTGAAGATGATTTTTCAGCACTTGTCCTTCCAAACGATATCCTCAACGTCACTGCTGCCACTCGAGTCGTAATCGGAGAGGATTTTGGGAATCCTACCTCTCGGAGACTCCACCAATGTCATCTGCCTCCTCTCCTCCTGCTCCTTTTCTGCAGCATCCTCTGCAGGGCCAACACCGATACATCATTCTCCATCGGCTCTTCCTAGGGCTCGAAGAAGGATCTGCACACATCATGGTAACCGCCCGGACGTCCGGACCGGGTTCCAGACAGCCCGGTGTCCGGTGTCTGGTCCCCATGTCCGGATGGAGGCCCCTGGGGCAAAAATCAAAAAAAAAAAAGGGGCGGCCCAGGATGTTTGTTGGGTCCTAGCCCCCCCTCGAAAAATGACGGGGTGATTTTTAAGTGTCCTCTCACCCCACCGGACATGGCCTAGAGGTCCAGACACAAGACACTGCAGGTTTTGAGGTGGCGGGTTTCGCTCAGGCCCGAGCAATTTCAAAGTGGCCGTTTCGACATGGTGCCCGCCGCTGCTGCCCGTTGGGGGAAGAGAGAGAGAGAGAGAGAGCATGGACATTGCTAAATCCAAAGTTCAAAGTTCAAAGTTAATCATACTTTTTCGAAGTTTTTTCAAAAAAAAATTCTCTGTTTCTTTAGTCTTGTGCCTGCTTTGCACTGTTTGCAACTCTGCATGTTTGCTAGTTAAATGTGCTGGTTGATTTGCTGCAAGACA